CGAATGTAATTTAAGTTTATTGATAATAATACAAGTATTATTTCTTTTGGCCATCTCTGATTATAATCACATTTATTACTTATACATAGTGATTTATGTTATTATATAATATTTTTTGCCATTTACAGACTTACATCAGAGCGTTTTTTTAAATGTTATTTGATAATTTCCAGTTATGATTTCTTAAGGACCTATCAATTCTCTGACTCATCACTATACGCTGGCTTTTATCCTCCAACTCTAATTTGCTGAATCTTTTGTATTAGTTATCAATAAATATACATACATACAGGCAATAAAAGACAAACACAATAATAAAACTGTAACGATAATAACATATAATATGATGTATACAATATATAGAGCATAGAGGCCATATGATAAATAAGTTATATGTAAATTTAGCTTTAGAGATTTGAACGCCGCGGCATGGCGCCTATTTAGTTCATAAGCGGTCAAGTGCCGCGGGTGTTTTTAAAACAAAATTTATCTGTTATTTATAAAATTGACGATGTCACAATATAATAATGTTTAGTAGGTATATTACAACGTCTAGTGTAAAACTGTTTAGGAATCGAAAGTCATTACTGTGTATGTGCACCACACGCGATCGCCGAGTGTTGTTAGGTAATTACTGTATACCTTAAGGCGCCGCAATATAATAAATTACATGCGCCTAACTATATACGGACAGTACGCTGAGAGGACATGTACTTTATAAGTTTCATGTTTGTATCATTCGCACTTATACGTCTCATAAGATATACAGCTACAGTACCTAAAACAAATCGTGTAAACTTACACATCAAACAAATTTTCGAAAAGATTCGAGAATGAGGTTTGGTCCTAAGTATGGTGAAGATTAAGTTAACATTTTAACTCTTTCCTAAAATTAACTATTCTTAAGCAAAAAAACTAAAAATTGCCGGTGCTATAGCAGCATTTTTAATTGACTAATAACCAAGTTGCGCCTTTGTTACCCACTTTTTTATGTAGAATCATAATTTTGAATAGTAATGTGATTCCCAATTTTGTACTGAACCAAAACTTGATTATTTTTAACAAGATTTCACGTCAGTAGTTTTAAATTCATAATACAGTACATTTTTGACCAACCATCAATATTTATAAACAAAATTTAAATATAAAATAACCACAACTTTTTGAGTGTCATAAAATATTTTTTCCTTTTATTAGTTTTGAAAATATGCCTTAACTAATGGTGAAGTTGAGCTACAATTTGTCATTTACAATTTAGACACAAGGATATCCTAATATCAATTATCACATATCATATTTTAAAGTCTCAAAATCTACTATTTAAACTTAACATGTTTTAGCTCTCGAGTACAGAATAACGCGGTAGTAACATTGTACGAAAAACAAGTTTAAGGCTGATTTTTGTATATATTTTATATATTTATATATTATACCTAATGTTATGTTTATCATCCGTATAAATTAGTGATTGCTTATTCGTTGAATATTCAGATTTATGTTGAAATCAAACCATTTTGAACGATTCGGTATGATACTTCTGTTATTAGTGGATATAATATATTATGTTGTTAAGAAGAGTTGTGGAATTTGTGAGGAAATATTTAATGTTTTAAAATAATGAGCCCATCGTTAATGAAGGATATAAAAAGGTAATCGAAGCTCATATTTTTTTATACGTTAAATTCCGGAGAGTTTTATAAGAGTGTAGAATTAATTCTAAAAAGAAACAAGCTTGTGAAATAAAATCATTCGTCTGCGATGTGTTAGACAGGTCATGTGCAATTGCCTCATATTTAGATTATATTTTCGGTGTACCGGTAAATTATATAGTCGTATCTACAATATTATATAGATTGATGTTTTTCCTCCTATCAATGTGGCTCACCTAATTTGTAAAACTAATTGTGTAATTTTAGAACCTAACGTGTTTGCGGTTCACGTCAAAATGTGTCAGCTGTGTAATATTTGTACTTAGGCGGTTTTATATAGTTTTTTATATACTCCTCACAACAAGACCAACCGACTGCTCTGCAGAATCCAATCAATTTGTGTATTTTATTTATAAAATAATTATATTGACGGGTGTTCAGTACTGTGTTATGTCATAGCTCACAACCTGGTTTGGTATTATTGGTATGTATGTGTAAAAACATATTTGTTTAACCTCTAGAGAATTCATCAATCATGATTTTCAATTTGATCATTAAGTTGATACAACACAGATAAAGTCGATCAAAATATTGCCTATAATAAGCCATTTACTTTTGGATTTTGCGATCAATTGTTGCAAGTAAGTAATAAATGTAACTAGGTTATTTTTTGAGATCTAAAACCATCCTTGTTTTCTACGATTTTTATGCTTTGCTTACACATTTCATAGACATTGGTCGCATGTGACCTATCCTAACATCCTTTGAGTATAAAACGACCAAAGCGTAATTTGTGCTTTTGGTTTAAATTATTATAATATGCAAATTGTACTAAAAATTTAAAGTAAAATTAATTTTATTATTTCCTCTCAGATTTCTCGAAGAAAACATATTTGTTTTATTCTAGTCACAAAAAAAGTTCATGTAAACCTTCCAGGCTAGTACGTATTATTATCAAATAATTTGGATAATGATCCTTTCGTGTCATACTCCGTTAAATGTATCAAAATTTATTTAAATAGTATTCATTTCATTTACCTAATAATCTGTTATTTATTAATTATAATTAATAATTTACATGACAATCTAATATAAATTATGGTAACGATACTATTAACTAGCAAAAGTAAAATTATAGTACGAATTCATTCCGAGGGCCAAAGCCATAAATTTAATGATGATGTAATTATTATACTGCGGACAATTATCATAACTCTCATTACTATTAATCGCTAGAAGAATCTACATTAGGAATCTACCATAAGTAGGTAAGTATAGGTAGTTGAATAATACCATTGCCATTAAGTGGGTTACGCCGTTGTTTATTATTCAAAATTGTGTTGTGAATTTTATAGTCTTGGAAACTCCATAATTAATCCAATCGACTTGTTTCGTAGACTGGCCATTTCGATTACAGTGTTTAATAGCAATGCATTTTTTTGCATTAGTCGGCACACTTAATACGTTAAGTTATATAAGTGTCACGAAAGACTTCCAGTGATTGTATCTATATACTAGGTTTTCATTATTTTATGGATTTTATGAGATTCCATAAAATTATCAGTAACACAGTATTATGCATGTTTCATACATTTTATTGAGTACACCGTAAAACATGATTTTGTAACAAGACGACTATATTTTGGGGACTTTTCGCTGAATGATTTTTTCTGACCTCAGATAGCCTTTCTTTAAACTCCTTTGGCTATCTTAAACCAGTTTTTAATTAAGGAAAGAAAACAAATTTAAAAAAATCTATCTAAAATATAATATCACCACTCAATGGTGTTTTACAATTTTAGAGGCGATTTAAAAAGAACTATTTATAGACGAGCTATAGAAAATCTCTTATGAATAAGTCATAATTAGTCCAGGAAAGTAAAGGATTTGTTTTATCAAACTATTTATTAAAATGTTTTTTTTATAAAATACTTTGATTTTATATATATATATATATATACAACGAATACACTTAATATGCACTAATAATAGTGTAAAGTATATCCTACAACTTAATTAATTGAAATGTTTTAAAAACAAGTTCGAGTTGTGTATGGCTTTGTGTATGAGTCAAAGTCGATTTGGTATTTCATTGTTTACCACTTCTTACACATTTATTTATTAAATACTCGAACATTATTTGATGATAGTTGGCGGTGACATATTCATAATATTATTATTATTATAACACGGATGTTTGTGGGGTCTTTGTCCTTCTCTATTTTGTGTTTATAATAAAAAACACCTAATTTTTCCTACCTTAAAAATAAACTATAATGGACTAATTGGTTTAAGTCTTAAAGAAAAACGTAAGTGTTAAATATTATGTGGTAATTTTCATTTGAAACTGGTTTGTCATTTCTCAACAGGATTTTACTATTATTTATTATTACCTTGATTTGAAACTTTTCCGTTTTCAAATTAAGTAGTATTACACTTGCATTTAATACTACTTTTTGATAACTCTTACCTTAACTAACTTAATTTTTTATCATTTTAAAAAAGTAATTAATTAGACAAGGCTAAGTTGTAATTTTGAAAATCTTACTTCGTTGAGCATTAATTAATTTTAACTTTGGACTCTGTTAACCAAGAGAAAAAAACAAGGTTCTTAAGCAGAAAAGAGACAATGCATCTCATTTGAGCATATAATATTACATATACATGAATTCATTTATACATGAATGTGTCGAAAATCCATAGAAAAAATATCCACGACATATTGAATCCTAGAAAAAGTGGACACTTCATTATATTCTCACTTTAAGAAGTAGATATAATTAAACTATATAAATCAATTAAAAATTATTCTGTAATTATTATTAAAAACATTATAGAAACTTACTGTTTGAGAAAATTATATTATGTTTCCTTGTATCATACAAGAATTTTTTTTTAAAATAGAGCGCTGATTATAGTTATACTTTTTTTTTATCCACCCTTCATGAGTTAAATAACACCTTTTAACTTAGAATAAACTTTATGCATGCACATTTAAAACAAAACATGTTATATAAAACATAAAACTTAATATTTTTAAACCGTGCACGGTTATAACATTGGCCTGCGCCCTGCTCATTTCGGCCGTTCAATAAAACTAGTTTCAATTTCAAAATTATAAATATAATTATACAGCCGCTATCGAGAAAGCAAAAACAACATAATTTATATCGGTGATATTTCGCAAAAGAAAGAAAATAATACCGAAATTAAAAAGGACAACCCTACTTGTCTGCTGCCGGTTGGATTTGCACCTATAATACATGTATAATGTAATATTATAAGCGCCACCTCGGCCGTCGATCATGGTAGGGATCATCCGAGGCACGGTATAGCGTTAGACAAGTAGTGCTGTTTCTTAGCCACTGTGCCGGCCGATTCTGTTAACGCCACAACCACCTCTGCCAGAGCAATTGTAATATTATAAATTATTTTTTTATTATTTTAACATTATCTTTCCCGTAAAATTAATTGATTTAAAAATAATAATTAAAGTTCAACATCGACAAACAGAACATACATATATATATATAACTAAAATATATATCTTAATTCCATAAATGTTATTTATTGTTAATTAATTTTTCACGTTTATTCGTTTGACGTATTTCGATAAAATCGATCTAAGAAAAAAACAAACATCTTAAAAAAAATGTTACAAAGTTATATCGTTGTGGCTGTGGTCGCCGTATCGTGCGTCCATGCTGCTAACAAGTCCGCCAAAGTCATACGTAAGTACAACATAATTAATTTATATAATATCATTTTTTTAAAATATTTTGTCTTTGATGTAGTTTAAGCAATATGCTTTTTTCCATTTTAACCTCTGATTCACTCTCAGTTTCATTTAAGCCACAGGACTATACTATTATAAAATATGTATTTTGGTTTCCCCTCGTCTCTTTTCCCAGTTGCAATTATTTGAATCGGACGATCTGTAGTGTGTATGATATTTATAATAACAATAATAATAATTATAATGCGTACAGGTTTGTACCCTGACGACCAAGCCAAGTGGGTCATCGGTCGGTATCGTATTACATAAATTACACAACCGACAAGCATGTCGGCAAACAGCCTTTACACTTATATACTTAAACTTGTTTACTCGTCTATTTTTTTTTTTTTTTTTTTAATGGAGACGACTACACCAGAGTCAAACATGCCAATCACACGGTATAACCGTGCTATACGATTTGTTTTATATTTTTACTATTAACAGGAGTTTACCGATTGTTATTGTAATAATTATTATATTATTATAATTATTACCTGTATTTTTTTTTTTTTTGGCCGACTGTAGATGAAAACCGGTTGCGACCGACGACCTGATTGCCTGAGCTATGATGCAACGGTCGGCGGTCGCAGCCGCCCTAGCCGTTGGCCAATGCTTGATGTCACATGCATATATGTATGAATGTAAGTGTGGTGTTGTGTGTAAACTATCATATTATACCGAACCACATCTCCTGGCGTTGGTTTGTGCAAACTTTTTCATCAATATCATAGATGTAAACAAGCTTACGAATTGTCAACATTTTCAAAATTAACACTTTTAAAATTCCTTGAAAAGAAAATTGACACATTAATACCATTATATGTTGTATTATATTCATTTATAAATATTAATACAATCGTTAACCTATTGTCGTAGGTGCAGTGATATTTATGTTATTAATAACTCCTAGTTATCGTTGTAATACCACTTTGCAGTTTTGAAGCTGTTTTAGTATTTTAAGAAACAAAAAATGATTTATTTATTAATACCAAACTTGTTGAGACTACAATCTAATAAATTAAAAGAAACACATATTAAAAAATACTACATATATGAAAACACAATACATAATTTTAATTAATATAACTATTTTATTTTAATACTGTAACATGATTTTATTATATTGTTTCCGGCACTAGAAATTTGCTAATTTTAAAGTCAATCTAAACATTGAGTCTACAAGACTCTTTGGTATAAAAGGTCTCAATTTCAGTCAAAAATATATACATATATACAGTTAGGAAAATAAACGTGTAAACTGCATAAAATCGTTAAAATGCTGTAAAAACAATAACACTTTCTCATCATTAGTTACAAAAGTCATGAAGTGGCATGAAGAGTTTTGTATAAAAATTAACATAGACTTGGAGAAGAAATACTTTGAAGCTTTTACATCATGAGTTACTATATTTTACTATATTAAGTAAGTTTGGCCCATTTAGACCCAAGGTCTGAGTATAGGTATTATATAATACATATTAATTTATTCAATTCAATTTCATAGTTCAATGATAAATTGTATTATCATATATTAATATTTTTTAGATTAGTAGTTATGAAATAATAAGTATTTTAGCAATATTCTTGATAATTCTGTATTATTTTCATTATTATTATTATTATAATTGGTACCTGCGACTGTAATGATGAGTAAACATGTGACAATATAAGAACTTGTATTTGAGTAACTACCAAATAGATGGTTTTGTTAATATTTTAATGACAATTTTTTGCAGGTACTAGTAAAATTGTTTCCGAATTGAATGCCGAAAATCATTTAAATTATTTTGAATCATTTCCAACTAATTGCTATTATAATTTGTTTTTGTGGATTTTTTACAGCACCATACATAAAACAATGTATACGAAACGATCCCAAACTGAACGAATGTTTAGCCGCAGAAATTAACCATCTCAGACCTTATTTGGTGCAAGGTAAGTGCATTAACGACTTTATCAACAACAACCAGAGTTGGCCATTATACGATCGATTTTTTATTTAAATAGAAAAATATTCTATACACATTTTATTCGATTAAAAATATAAAGCATTATAAAAATAAAATGTATTTTTATTTAAATTATTACGTTAGTCGACTTGTTTTAGTTATTTGTTATTTAATTAAGTTATTGCCTACTTTGATACAGATCTGGGAATTATTTAAATATACATTTTTGGAAATATAAATTTTAATATTTTATTAATCAAAAAGTTGTTTAATTATAACACAAAACAACAAAAAATTGTATAAATACAATTGTAATTATTAAACAAATGGAACACATTAGAGAAAATAATAATTTATTACAAAAAATCAAATACATTTTTATTTATAAAAATAACATGTTATTTTAAAAAGGTAATTTAAAATATATTTTAATAAAGTATTATTTTAAGTTTTAAGTAAAAAATTGGTTAGACATTTATTTTAATTTTAAACGCAGTAGTAAGATATGTATTTCAATTAAGAAAATATTTTATTTACTGAAAAAATGTATTTTAAATAGTTCATTGTATTTAAATTGTTATCCAGGTCGGCTCAGACTGATTATTAATAATTACGACTGTTGTTCACTTAGGTAGGTCTCAACGGTGTTAAGCAGAGGGGTTTCGCAAAAAAAATAAATAATAATAATAAAAAACTTGTACTACAACTTTTCTGGTTGGTTTGCAGATAAATTACAGTTCATCCACACTTGTATTTGCACACCGCAAGTTCTTGTTTAGGTTATTGTAAAACACAATATTTATTATTTTTTTTATCGTGGCGCAACGCGTGCCGGCACAACTCGGTCAATGTCACACCGCCAATACACATGTTTTTTTTTTTTGCCACGCTGGTCTCGTGTGCTTATAATATGTTAGGTATGTTTAGTAAATTCACTTTTGTTTTGTTTTCGTGTCCATTAGGCGAAAGCAATATTGTAAGCAAACAATTTGTTGTTTCCTGAACTTCCGCTTTAACCCCCGATGGGGAGGTGGTCGTCGTTTTGGTATAATAGCATCTCACCAATATGAATACATGTACATACATTCAAATCCACACACTGTGTCCGCGATGGCCATGGGATTCATATTGTATATATGCCATGATAACTTCAACGGGGGTTTATTTTTTACTACAAAGTATCGATAGATAATTCAGTTGACAATACTGATTTTGCGTTTAAGACTTTAGTTAACAACCTACTGAGAGAACAGACTCAGGGCCGGACTGGGCCACTGTGCTACTGTACTGCAACACAGTTTGTCACTGCTGTAGAGTAACAAGCAAAAAACCTCCAATTCTCCATTGCCCTGGGTGGTAAAAACTTATACTTATTTGTCGTTGTTAGTTAATCTTCAAATGAAACCGTTTTCGACGAAACAAATCGGCAATATGAGTAGGTCACATTACTCTTTACTCGTTAGTATGGCTTATTTAATGTACATTTTAACTATGTTATTATTGAATGGTGAAACATAAATGTCATTTTATTTTTCAATCATTTATTGTTATTGTTTAGTAATAACAATATTTTTCTTATAAATTATGAATTATTTTTCAAATAGTATTGGCTCGAAGTTATGGGCGCGTAGCTAGGGTTTCTCGAGGTTTTTTAGAAATACTGAATTGTAAAACGAAATGAAAATAAATAGCATCGCCCGGTGTAAAAGTTCACCGTTTCAATGACTAAGTAGTTGCTATATTGACTTCGAGCAAAAATCAACAGTAAGCATAAGCATATTGACAACATTTTCGTAAAAAAAAAAAAAATGTATTCATTGTTAGAGAACTACTAGAACTGAATTTTTTTCATATTTTGCGACTAGCAGAAATACCAGGTACTCGCAGGTACCCAATTTTAAAGTATACTAACACGACTGCTGTGTTTTCTGTATATAAACTTTAAATGTGAAAATTTGAGAATGCGCATTTCCCTGTCTCGAAAGTGTATAAACTAGTGTAGATTATCAGATATTTTTCTAGACCGGGGCAAGTCCATGATATGTGGCGTGGCCTTGTTACTTGTACTTTAACACTGTCGGGGTTATTTCAAGCATTTTTATCTAAGTTAATTGTTTTTTTTTTTAAATGTTAACATTTCTTATTGGTTGAGCAGGTTTTAGGGTATTGTTCGAGCCATTCAAAGATACTAGGTCGGTTGATTTCTTAACTTTTTGTTCGTGTGTTATTTCATGCAAGTTTGCATCCAATCATCTTATTTAACTTATCTGCTGCGTATGCTATAACTCTATGTACCCCAATAACACCGATACGGTATATTAGCTTTTCCAACTTTTGTTAGCGTTGGCTGATTTTTGTCTTTGGATGCTTTGACCGACTTTGTCTTCTTTCTCATATTTTCTGAGTAGTTCGAGTTGTACACTAATTTCCATATCCGTATTAATTGACTCTCGCTGTTGAATATAAAATATAGCTGATAGAAAACGTCGCTGTGTACATTTATTAATTAACTAAGTTCTTACGTTACGTTGCTGGCCGGAACGAATGCGCAGAAGGCTTTCACCTGTCGAGGAGGAGGATTCTTTGTGATGTATTCAAACTCACTATATTCCAACAGACATGCCAACCTGCGCAAAAAAACTATATTTCCAAAACATCTTCACTAAATTTTTTAATACTTTGTCATAAATTTATTCGATATTAGGTGTGTACTTTGTCTGAGTTGTTTTGTGTTTCTGCTGTTCGTCCAATGTTACGTGTTCCCCTTCAAAAACCGTTTCGTCGAACCCTTCGCAATAGTGTTCATAGTTATTAGTAGAGCTCTTATTTCACGTGAACACGGATTCACGAAAACACGTGAAATTAAAAATTTCGTGCTGAAGACCGTGTAATCCGGTTATCACGCAATTCACGCAATTCACGTAGTCTTACACGTGAATTGCGTGTATTGAAAAAATCACGTAGACGCGTGAAAAGATAAATACACGTACTATAATATTGCTATCTATTGATGCATAATTATTAGTTTTTATAAATAAGAGTCAACTTATTAATACGTTATCGTGGTATAATAAGTGTTATTAATTATAATTCATACTTAACGAGTAAAATACTCGTAAATAATAACAAAAAAGTATGATGATTCGAAATAAAAATGTTTACTTTGAATACATTAATAACAATAATAATAATAATAACTATTAAATACCGTTAACCTGGGTGACTTGAAACGATTTTGATATTCTTTATCTTATTCTGAGCTGAAAAAAATCGCAAAGATCTGCAAAAAATTAATTCATTGTTGCGTAAGGTCCTAGAACAGCTTAATACTTTGTAAAAAATTTTAAGCCCAAAAATTGATGGGTAAAAAAAATAAAAACCTGTTGTTTCAAGTCACCTGAAATTTTGGGTGACTTTAAACACTTATCTTAAACCGCCTTAATTTTCAATTCAAATACTTTAATAGTGACTTGAAACAATATATTTGTTTTAAAAAATAACAAAAAAGATAAAAAAAAAAATTAACTTTTTAAACAATGTGGAATATTAAAACAGTGTTTTTAGGATTTTCCTTAATAACATGAAATAAAATAAATAAAAACATCAATTGATACACCATATTTATCAGACGCGTCTCTGTAAGTCATTTTTTTTGTTTTACATCATTAATGGCCTTAATAGAGTTTTTTCAGAATAGTTGTGGTAATTCCTGCTGCCCAGTTGACGTACGTATTTGTTCGGTATTGTTTCAAGAGACCTCGTATTTTTTTTTTTATGTAACTGATGACCTAAAATCGAAAAAAACGTTTTTTTAATTTTTTATTGAACAAATATTCTTTTGAACTACTGTCCAATATGTGAAAAATATACAAACCTTAAAATTTGACGTTCTTCGCATACATTCAGAACACTTTTAACAGTGATTACAAAATTACTAAAATGTTGGTAAAAGATTAATATATTTTTTTTTTACTTGATAAGAAAAATTAGGTGATCGATAAGAATATTTAGTATCACAAGCACACAAAGAAAATTTTATTTCAAGAACGGTTCACTTATTACTAAATCTCGGTAACATATAATGATATGATTAAAAAAAACTGATACTGTTTCAAGTCACACAGAAGTTTCAAGTCACCCAGATTGACGGTACATAAACAATCTTCTGTTTCGACGGACAACTTAAGAACACAATTTTATATCAACAGACTACTCGTTTTAAATTGGTGTGGAAAGGAACTTTAAAAATAACAAAAATAATTACTTAATAAATGAACAAGATTAATGATTTAATTTAAACAAGAAATAAATTATAATAACAAACAAATACATATTAGTGTTTACTAACTTTTTTAATATAGCGAGAACTATAAACTTAACTAAATAATTTTTGATTTTGGTACAAAAATACCAACATGTTTACATTTTCAGGAAGAGGCAACTTCTTTTTAATATGATAATGTTACCTGTCGTTGAGAAGCACCTTTCCGAACTTGCTGATGTAGATGGAACGTTGTATCATAGTTTAAAATAAATGACAAGGAAAAATCTGGATTAACATCTGCAGCATATTCGTTTCAGCTAGCTGTTAATAAAGCACTTTCAGACGATGATATTCAATGTATAATTACGAAATCCAGTAAAATCGTCGGCCATTTTAAACATTCAGCAATTAAGGCTTTGGTAATAGAGCACTATCATAAATGTGCTCGTAGATCGTAATACAATAGAAGCCAGTATTTCCCAAAAATTAGAAAATATCATAAGGCGAGTGGTTAGCCATTGAAAAACTAATTATACTTCTGAAACCACTTGAAGGCCTAACTACAATATTTGATATTAACCGACTACTCGTTTTAAATTGGCGTGGAAAGGAACTGTAAAAATAACAAAAATAATTACTTAATAAATGAACAAGATTAATGATTTAATTTAAACAAGAAATAAATTATAATAACAAACAAATACATATTAGTGTTTACTTAC